CCTCCCTCTACTGTAATGTAACCTGTAAAGTGCGGAGTACACCTGTTAGCGCTATATAAATAAAATATACATACACTGTATACCTACTGCACTTACTGTATCTCCCTCTACTGTAATGTAACCTGTAAAGTGCTGAGCACACCTATTAGCGCTATATAAATAAAATATACATACACTGTATACCTACTGCACTTACTGTACCTCCCTCTACTGTAATGTAACCTGTAAAGTGCTGAGTACACTGTAATGTAACCTTCATGGTTGGCTGTCAAGAGAATGGAAAGTGAAATTAAATCCTTTCACTGTAGATTTCGAGGGAATATACTTTAAATGTCATGGTCTGGACGTGGACCCCTCTTCCCAGTCTGTAAATCACTATGATTGTAACACCTTTTGTGTTGTGTTTTAGACAGATGAGTTTGTGACATTCTGTTAGGAATTTATGGCTTATTTCTGCCTCAGACTCTGCACGTGAAGGACTTTACTCAATAACAAGAGCGTCTGGCAGGAGATAGGATTAAAAACTCCCTCCAATCAATACCTACATTTGATTCTCAGCAACAAACTTGAAGAATTTAATGAAAACAGAACACTTCAGCGGCAATATAGATCTGAGATACGGCCGCTGACTCAGTGTACTCATAAAAAAATGAAAATGCACCTAGAAGGACCAGAATAATTCCATTACAGCATACCCCTTTGTATTAAAGAAAACAAAGGGGTACTCCAAACACCATGACCACTTAAGTGGTTTAAAGTGGTTGTGGTTTCTGGAGTCTATGTGTGTAGTGTCACTCCTAACCTCCTTCACCAACCGGCAAGGGGGATTGACGTCAGACAAGAAGGATCAGATTGCAAGGAGAATTTGGACTCGGCGATAGGACATTTTCAGCAGTTTCTTTCATATAGTAGAAAACCGTTTACATTCTTACCGTAATTCTCTTTTCCTGGCTATTCTACATGGCAGCATGACTTATGGGTTCGCTCCTCCCCAGCTGTCAGGACAGGAATAATTCATCAAACAATTAAAAATAGTTAATATAAGCCACCTCCTCCCTAAACTCCCAAGTCTTGTTAAAAAACAATAGCTAATGAATTCAGAAGGGAGGGAGTGTGGTGCTGCCATGCAGAATAGCCAGGAAAAGAAAATTACGGTAAGTCTGGAAACCGTTTTCTACTTTCCTGGCCAAATACGGCAGCATCACCTTTCATGAAGAGTGGGATAAATAAATTAAACAGTAGACCTCATAGATGCTCAACACACAAAAGGTTTATTAGGTTCTTCGTGCCACTGAAGCGAGGACACTTTTCCCAAAACGAGATTATTTAGAGGAGGATAAATCCAGTTTGTAGTGTCTTACAAACGTATGATGAGAGGACTAAGTAGCCACCTTACAATATCCTCTACCTGCACCTCTGCCCTAGAAGCCCATGAAGTTGCCAAACTTCTGGTTGAATGTGGTCTGATTGTGCTGGGAGCTTAGAGACCCTGGGAAGCATAAGCGTAATTGCCAAGGAGATCCATCTTCTAAGCGTTGCTGTGGAAGCTTCTTTGCCTCTCCTGGTGCTTGATGGAAGGATGAATAGTCTTTCTGATTTTCTGAAGTGCATGGACTTCTGTAGATAGATTCTGAGGCACCTTACCACATCTAATTTACTCCAGTTATTTTCTTCCTGTTTAGATGGTGTGGCGGAAGCAGCCTCACCACCGGGTATTGGAGAAGACTGATTGCCAGCCTCCTGCCCTGTGACTATGGCCCTGATGTTGAAATGCTTGATTTTCCCCTGCAAAGACCCGAAAGCCGGGTCATTCGGTACTTTCCCTATGTGAGCAGTGTTACCCCAGATAGCTATGCCATGGAGCCCATTCGTATAATGAAAGACTACGTGAAAGACTTTGGCTCCATGGCAATTGAACTGTATGTATGTGATCTGAGCGCCGTTCAGTAATAATGTGCGCTCAGATCTGGGCTATCTGGGGATATGTTGAATGTACCTGTTTTATGCAATGGCTGCACAGTTATATATTTTTATGTATTTTATTGTATTTTGCTACCATGTGGCTAATGGAGTTTTGCCTCTGTCCTTGAGATAATTGGATTACTTCACAATTATCTCCAGGATAGAAGACTCTGTGGAACTGGTTTTTGGCAGAAAAGCCATGCTTCATTTGGTCACAAAGGACGTTGATCTAACTTTTGACCCACTGGACCAATTTGTATGATTTTGACGTATTTGGTATTTGGAGTATGCTTATTCTGAAAATGTAAATGTAAATGTGATGCATACTTTTAAAGTTATGAATATTGTGTAAAACTGTGTATTTTCCTGCCTGTGATAATTATAGTAACCCATTGTGTAAGGTAATTGTATCACAGGCAGAGGGGAGGATTTTGTGTGGGAGTGTCTGAGTGTATTATACGTGTTTATTGGTTGTTCTTCAAAACCCTGTGGGCCGTACTATGTTTGTAGAATGTGAATAAAAGAAGCTGTATGGGCCAGTACAGTCAGTTCTACGTCACCCTCAATTTGGAGTGCCGTCTCTTATTGGGGGAATCTGCTACAAGGGATTGCTATGCTCTGCATACTCTCTTGCTATATTCACTGCTAAGCTCTGTTCCTGTCCTGCTCTCTGAGGGAGTCCACGGTGGTTATGGTGTCTGCTGGAGTGCTTAGAGCCCTCAGGAAGTGCTAGGAGCATCCTTCAACGGAGGTACCCAGTCGGGGTGCCAGGTGATCCGTTACAGATGGATTAGGAAAAAAAGATGGAAGCACTATCTCCTGTTGAATGTGGAACCTAGAAACCACTTTAGGGAGAATTTCAGGTCTGGGAATAAGAACCACTCGATCTTGGTGAAACACAGTGTATGGTTCCACTGAACATAGTGCCTGTAGCTCCGAGACTCTTCTGGCTGTTGTTATGGCAGTTAGGAAGAGTGTTTTAATAGTCAGCAAATATATGCACAAAGAATGTCATAGGGTCAGAGGGTTTAGAGCCCACCTGGTATTAGTTATAGCACAAATGGACGAAACTTGTACTTTCAACGTACTGAGGCTTAGACCTTTGTCCAAACCTACCTGGAGGAAATTAAGGATATCAGATTACTCTTCAGTGGCAATTCCATTCTCCAACTTCCAGGTTCTGAAAGATTTCTACACTTTGTAATAGGAGGCTGAAGTAGAGTTCTTTCTTGATTTTAATAGAGTATTAGAGACTGACACGGACATGCCTGAATTTAAAAGGTTCCTCTTTTCAAGCTGAACGGATTGGGGCTCTGGATGAACTGCCGGGCCCTGAAGTAACAGGTCCCATCTCTATGGAAGTATGATGGGGGCTCTTTGGGTCATACGTAATAGGAGAGGAAACCAAGATCTCCTAGGCCATGATGGTACTATTGCAATCACTGTGCAATTCTCCTGCCAAATTTTCCTCAATAATCTGTGAAGTAATGGAATTGGAGGGAAGACATACACCAACTCGAAGTTCCAATTCTGGGATAGATCATCCTGGGCTTCTGCCTGAGGGTATTTCCACCTTGAGAAGAATCTGGGTATTTGTGAATTCCTGAAAGAAGCCATCAGATCTATTTGAAGCATGCCCCATATTTCCACTATTTGACAAAATATTTCTTTGTTCAGGGACCATTCCCCTGGGTCCATGCTTGACCTGCTTAGGAAGTCTTCCAGGGTATTTTCTTTTCCTGGGAGGTACACGGCTTTCAGATGTTTCAGGTAAATCATAGCCCACGCCCATGATAGGTTGCATTTGAAGAAGTAACTACTTGCTCTTCATACCACCTTTATGATTTAGATATGCAGTCACCACTCTGTTGTCTGTTTTTATTATCACTCTTTTCCCCTTCAGGTGGGTGGCAAATGACATCATTGCCTTGTATACTGCTCGCATTTCTTGAATGTTGGAATGGAGAAGACGTATTTGGTTGTGCCATTGAGCGACTAGATTCCTGTAGTAGGCACCCCATCCCCATGTGCTTCCATCTGTCGTTACCATTTCCCAGGAAGGATCTTCCAGCTGAAATTCTTTGTTCAGATTGGGCTCCTTCATCCACCATCTCAATTGCTGTTTGAGGTCTTGGGGAATTATTATCCACCGATTCCAATTCATGGAAATGTTGTCGATTTGCCTGAGGAAGTTCATCTGGGCTGGTCCCATCATCCAATGTGCCCATCAGACCAGACCTATTGTTGACATGAGGGACCCTAATGTACTCATGTACGTTCTGGCTTTAACTTTTGTGCTTTGCAATGTGGTCGTGAGACAAGGAAATTGTAGATTCTTCCGTATTTATTCTTTCCCCCAAGAACACTGTGTTTCTGGGTGAAACTGGGTTGTCTTGCCTTTGTTTATCAGCCAGCTGAAACTCTGCAGAGCACGGATAACTTCCTCTGTATGATGAAGAGTCTTGTGATATTCTTGGGCAACTATTAGGATGTCGTCCAACTAGTGAAAGCTTTGTATCCCTCTGTTTCTCAGAACTGCTACGATTGTGATAAAAAATTTCAAAAATCAGTGCTAGACTTAACACAAATGGCATCCCCTGGAACTGGTAGTGTTTCTCCAGTATACAGAAGCTCAGAAATGTTTGGTGAGAATGATGTATTGGTATTTGGTAATATGCATCTTTTAAATCTATTGATGTTAACCAATCCCCTTGGTGAATTGTCTGCTTTATAGAGGAAATTGACTCCATCTTGAATGACATGCTTTTGAGGAAAGTGTTGATTCTTTTTAAGTCTAGTATAAGTCTCCACTTTCCTTGGGGCTTTGGAGCCATAAATATATTTGAGTAGAATACTCTGTATCTCTCGACGAGGAACTTCTGTGATTACTCCTTGTGTTGTAAGTTGTTGTAAACACCTCTTCATTGCTTTCAGTTTTATTCCAGATGACACTGTTGATTGATGGAATTGATAAATTCTTGTGAATTCTTTGGACTCTATTCTGTAACCATCTCTGATGATACTTAGGAACCAATTGTCCTTGATGAACTCTGCCCAGACAGGAAAGAACAGTTTTAGACGGCCTCCTACTATTCCGGTCTGGGTGACCCAACCTTCATAAAGTTTTAGGAGTTTGTCTGAATCCTCTTCCTCTGGATGCTCTAATGGAGGAGGAGGTGGATTGTTGAAACCTCCATTGTGAGGGTCTAGAGTACTCCCTTCCAGGCTTATATGACTTGCTGTCACATAATGCCTTCTCTTTGTTTCGCTCATCTCTCCATGACATGTTAAATGGTCTTCGGTAAGATTGAGGGAGAAAAGCCTTTTTACCGTCAGTGGCTTGGTTGCTTCATATAGCTTGGTTGCTTCATCTAAGTGTTGCTTCTAAGTGTGTATTTGGAGATATTCTGGAGAGTTTTACAGAAGCTTCAACTGTCTAAGAGTTGTGCTAAGAGCTTTCTTTTCTACTGTTACAGGTAAGATTCATCTGTAAGAAAAGGTTACTGATTGCACAAGGTTTGAATTCCTGCTGGTAATTATAAGGCATTTGATTTGATTAAGCTAGTTACTTGCTGTTGATTGCTGGTTAATTAGCTATTGTTTGCAAATAAGCAGAGGCCTACCCAGGTGTTAAACATTCCTAGTGGGTGGTGATTTTAGGAGTTATATAAGGGCTGTGGTCATTAGCTTGGCTAATATAGCTTGGTTGCTTCATCTAAGTGTTGCTTCTAAGTGTGTAGTTGGAGATATTCTGGAGAGTGTTGCTTCTAAGTGTGTAGTTGGAGATATTCTGGAGAGTGTTGCTTCTAAGTGTGTAGTTGGAGATATTCTGGAGAGTGTTGCTTCTAAGTGTGTAGTTGGAGATATTCTGGAGATAACCTGGAGGTAATCTGAGGTATTCAGGAGGATAAATACAAAGTTAAGATTTGTTAGATTTAAATTATTCTCCTCATTGGAATGGCAGACTTAGTTCAGTGTAATAGTTGCTCTGCATTTGTTTCACGTTCCACTTTTTGGAGGTTTGGTTGTTGTCTAATCTGTAGACAGTTCTCTATCTTGCGGCAGGAGATTGTATTTTTGAAGTCTGAGATTTGTAAATTATCTGGTGAACAAACTCAGACTGGAACTGCTGCAAAGCCACTGCCGCAGAGACATACTAGGAATGACAGATGGATTACTGTAGGATCTGGTAGACTTAGAGTTGTGGATAAAAGGCATATTGCACAGGTTGTTGCTCTACATAATTAATTTTCTGCACTTTCAGAGTGTAATGGTGTTATGGAGAGAGGCACTGAGGCTAGTGGTGTAGTGAAGAGGGGCACTGAGGCTAGTGGTGTTGTGAAGAGGGGCACTGAGGCTAGTGGTGTTGTGGAGAGGGGCACTGAGGCTAGTGGTGTTGAGGAGAGAGGTACTGAGGCTAGTGGTGTTGTGGAGACGTGCTTGGAGACTATGGTGAGGCCTAATAGAAAGCAGTTGTTGTTGGGGGATTCCATCATAAGAGGTGTGGAGATGGACAATGGTGGTCTTGTGAGGTGTCTTCCCGGAGCTACTGCTCACAGACAGGAGACGTATCTGTAATATTGTTAAGCAAGCAAAGCAGGAAGGGGAATTGGATGTACTTGTCCATATAGGGACAAATGACTTGGCTTGCAATGAGGTTTCAGAGGTTAAGGAAGTTTTTAGTGTTTTTGCCAATGATATAGGTTCCACACTGTCATTCTCTGAAGTTCTGCCTGTGCATAACACTCAGAACGACAGGCGGATGTGTATTAGGGACTTTAATTTGTGGCTTGGTGAATGGTGTCGGGAGCAAGGATTTGGCTTAATTTCTCATGGTAGCTCTGTTTGGAATGGAAATAACCTGTACAAAAAAGATGGTTTGCATCTTTCTCAAAAGGGAACAAATGTTCTCAGGGAGCAGTTCAGAGGTTTTGCTAGGATGTATTTAAACAAGAGGAGGGGGCAAAAGGGTGATAAAATATCAATCCAATTGTCCCCGAAAACAAGGACAGAAGGTGCCTGTAGCAAGTGTGTTAAAAAATGTTAAGCTTAGAGTCATGTCTACAAATGCTCGCAGTTTAGGGAATAAGATCCATGAACTTGTGGCAATAATGGAAACTGATAGTGTAGATTTAGTCGCTGTTACT